ACCACCAGTTGCTCCAGCTCAGGAGTAGATTCCAGATATAGCTGAGCCGACCGGACCAGCTGAGGCACCAGCTATGCCTATTGAGATTCCAGGTCTTCAGGAGACTTTGGCCCAGATATTAACAGTTTGCACTGGCCTAGCTCAGGTGGTTTCGGCTCAGGCCGCACCAGCCACTTCTCTGGCCGGGGGAGGTACTCACACCCCTATTGCCCGTATTCCAGATTAGGTAGTACAGGGACCTCAGATACCGGGGGCACTACTAGTCCAGCCAGTTGTAGCTGCTCAAGCCCCGATAGTCCCCGTTATGGCAAATGATAAGCAGAGGAGACCTGAGAGATTTGGGAGGCTTCGACCTCCATCATTTAGCGGTGCTGAGTCAGAGGATGCTCAGGGTTTTCTTGATAAGTGTCAGCGGATGCTTCGGACAACGAGTATTCTGGAGACCAGTGGGGTCTCGTTCACTACTTTGCAGTTTTCTGGGGCTGCCTTCAGATGCTGGGAGACTTATGAGAGGTGCAGGAAGATCGGTGTTGTACCACTTACATGGCAGAAATTCTCCGTTCTCTTTTTGGAGAAGTTTGTGCCACAGTCTCGCGGAGAAGAGTTGCGCAAACAGTTTGAGCAGTTACATCAGGATGGTATGTCTGTGACGCAGTACGAAATGAGATTTTCTGAGTTTGCTCGTCACGCAGTTTGGTTGGTTCCCACTGATAGAGAGAGGATTAGGAGGTTCATTGATGGCCTCACATATCAGCTACGGTTACTTATGACTCGGGAGAGAGTATCTGGTACTACTTTTGATGAGGTAGTTGACATTGCTTGGCAAATAGAGATGGTTTGTAGCCAAGAGCGTGGAGAGAGGGAGGGGTCAGGTGATTTCAGTGGTATTCCTTTAGGGGGTCAGTTTTACCGCGGTAGGGGTCTGTCACGACCCGAAATTTCCCACCGACGGTACCGTGATGGTACCTAACATTTCACTTGCTAGGCAAGCCAACATTAGAGAATCATTAAACCAATTCCTTATTTCCATTGAGTAATTAACAATAATTAACTAAGATGAAATATAATAAGTGCGGAATATCATAAAACTGTATTAATTACTTCCACCCGGATCTGGAGTCATAATTCACGAGCATTCTAGAATTTACTACAAGTAATAGTCTGGAAGAAATACAACTGTTTGAATGAAAGAAAACAGCAGTGACATAAAAGGTAGACGGGGACTTCAAGGTCTGTAAATGCCGACAGATCTACCTTGAGTCTCCGGACAGCGGACCAATAGTAAAATCTCGATCAATCTGAGCCGGTATCAAAGTCTGCACAGAAAGTGCAGAGTGCAGTATCAGTACAACCGACCCCATGTACTGGTAAGTGTCGAGCCTAACCTCGATGAAGTAGTGACGAGGCTAAGGCAAGGCACCTATAAATTAACTTGTACAATTTAACGTGTATATATAAATAACATAAATGAAGAACTAAATAGGAAATGTCGGGAGAGAAACATATTGTGGGGAATACGAGATAAAGAACTACAACAGAATGATAACCAGAGCAGTCAATATACCATGAATCAACAGGAATAGTGAAAACAGTAAGGAAAAATGCACGTCATCACCCTTCGTGCTTTTACTCTCAATCTCGCCATAAAATTAATAGAAACAGCACGACATCACCCTTCGTGCATTAACTCTCATATAATGGCACGGCATCACCCTTTNCGAAAATCCGTAAACATGATAATGACCATCAATTTAACAACACTAGTGTAAACATGCAGCAATTAGGCATAGGAAGAGAAAATATAAGAAAACGGAAGAAACATGGAAAAATAGGTAAATTGGCAGCACATAAGTACTCGTCACCTCACATATACGCCGCTCACATGAATTTCAC